AGCCCGGCCCGGCCTGTTCCTGCCACTCGCACCAAGTCTACGGTGCGCGTTGCCAGCCCGGCCCGGCCTGTTCCTGCTACTCGCACCAAGCCTACGGTGCGCGTCGCCAGCCCGGCCCGGCCTGTTCCTGCCACTCGCACCAAGCCTACGGTGCACGTCGCCAGCCCGGCCCGGCCTGTTCCTGCCACTCGCACCAAGTGTACGGTGCGCGTCGCCAGCCCGGCCCGGCCTGTTCCTGCTACTCGCACCAAGCCTACGGTGCGCGTCGCCAGCCCGGCCCGGCCTGTTCCTGCCACTCGCACCAAGCCAGGGGTGCGAGACGTCAGCCTGGTAAGGCCTGTTCCTGCCACTCGCACCAAGCCAGGGGTGCGAGACGTCAGCCTGGTAAGGTCCGTTCCTGCTCCACGCACCAAGCCAGGGGTGCGCGTCGTCAGCCTGGTAAGGCCCATTCCTGCTCCACGCACCAAGCCAGGGGTGCGTATCGTCAGCCCGGTCCGGCCAGTTGCTGCTCCACGTACCAAGCCAGGGGTGCGCATCGTCAGCCCGGTCCGGTCCGTTCCTGCTCCACGCACCAAGCCAGGGGTGCGCGTCGTCAGTCCGGCACAACCCGTGCCTGGGTCACCGGTGCCTGATCAGGTACCGGTCGGCTGCTCCACACCGGAGCTGAAGCTATCCGCTCCTACTATGTCCAGTTCAGCTCCAGCCAGCGGGGCCAGATCGGACCAGGGGCGCTATGGGGGGATTATTGGAGGGTGGTGGGCAAGCCCGGAGCCAGAACCGCCGCCGAGGAGGAATGCCCACCCAGCCCTCCCCTGTTTGGTTCTAGTTGAGGCGCGGTCGCAGTCCGTGCCTTTAGGGGGGGGGGTACTGTCACACCCTGGCTCTGGGACTCTATATGTTGAGCCAGGGTGTGTTCATTCTATGTGTTGTGTTTCTATGTCGGGAGTTCTAGTTGTGCTATTTCTATGTTGGCCTGAGTGGCTCCCAATCAGAGGCAACGAGTGTCAGCTGTTGTTGGTTGTCTCTGATTGGGAGCCATATTTAAACTGTCTGTTTTCCCTTTGTGTTTGTGGGATCTTGTTTCCGTTTGGTTGTTTCTGTGTTAACCGTAGGACTGCACGTTTCGTTTATGGTTTTGTTGTTAAATTATCACTTAAGATAATAAAGTTAAGTATGTTCGCAACTAACGCTGCGCATTGGTCTACTCTCCACGACGATCGTGACACCAAGAGCACACAAAAAACGATCCATACCTCGGCCTAAACATCAGGAACATCAAATTTGACATACCAATTAGGATCTGGCTAAAAATACTTGAATCAGTTATAGAACCCATTGCCCTTTATGGCTGTGAGGTCTGGGGTCCACTCACCAACCAATAATTCACAAAATGGGACAAACACCAAATTGAGACGCTGCATGCAAAATATCCTCAGTGTACAACGAAAAACACCAAATAATGCATGCAGAGCAGAATTAGGCCGATACCCGCTAATTATCAAAATCCAGAAAAGAGCCGTTAAATTCTATAACCACTTAAAAGGAAGTGATTCCCAAACCTTCCATAACAAAGCCATCACCTAAAGAAAGATGAACTTGGAGAAGAGTCCCCTAAGTAAGCTGGTCCTGGGGCTCTGTTCACAAACACAAACAGACCCCACAGAGCCCCAGGACAACAACAACAACACAATTAGACCCAACCAAATCATGAGAAAACAAAAAGAGAATTACTTGACACATTGGAAAGAATTAACAAAAAAACAGAGCAAACTAGAATGCTATTTGGCTATAAACAGAGAGTACACAGTGGCAGAATACCTGACCACTGTGACTGACCCAAACTTAAGGAAAGCTTTGACTATGTACAGACTCAGTGAGCATAGCCTTGCTATTGAGAAAGGCCGCCGTAGGCAGACCTGGCTCTCAAGAGAAGACAGGCTATGTGCACACTTCCCACAAAATGAGGTGGAAACTGAGCTGCACTTTCTAACCTCCTGCCAAATGTATGGCCATATTAGAGACATATTTCCCTCAGATTACAGAGATCCACAAGGAATTCGAAAAACAAACCCAATTTTGATTAACTCCCTTATCTACTGGGTGAAAAACCACAGTGTGCCATCACAGCAGCAATATTTATGACCTGTTGCCACAAGAAAAGGGCAACCAGTGAAGAACAAACACCATTGTAAATACAACCCATAATTATGTTTATTTATTTTCCCATTTGTACTTTAACTATTTGCACATTGTTACAACACCGTATATATACATAATATGACATTTGACATGTCTTTATTCTTTTGGAACTTCTGAGTGTAATGTTTACTGTTAATATTTATTGTTTTTTTTCACTTTTGTTTACTATCTACTTCACTTGCTTTGGCAATGTTAACATACATTTCCCATGCCAATAAAGCACTTAAATTGAATTGAATTGAATTGAGAGAGAGAGAGAGAGAGAGAGAGAGAGAGAGAGAGAGAGAGAGAGAGAGAGAGAGAGAGAGAGAGAGAGAGAGAGAGAGAGAGAGAGAGAGAGAGGGGGGCCATGTCTGGGGTGGTGGGCACTGTCACCTGTGGGACTGTTAATCACAGAGAGCTGAATGTAGTCATTAGTTCCCACCTGACAGAGACTCCAGATACACAGCAGCAGAATGTTTCCGACCGCTCCGCTCAACAACCCCGTAACAGGCTGCATCCATTAGTCATTAAAGTTGTTTCAGGGAGATAATGGCTTCATTGCCTTAATTTGTTGTGTATGTGTGTGTGCGCTCCCATTTGTTTGAGTGAGTGTATTTGTTTGTGTGTTTGAGGGCAGTGAATTTGAATTGCATGGCCTTAATTTAATTAACTTGCTATTTCTACCTCCCATCTCCAGGGACAATGTCTCCCACACTTCTCTCAGTGAAGAATCTCCTGGCCTAAACATTTTGGCAGATCTATACATCTCTCATTAAACTTTCTAACTTCATTCCTCTCCTTCTTTTGCCCCCTCTTTCTCTCGCCACCTCTCTCCCTTCCACCATCTCTTATTCTCCTCTCTCCCTCTCTCTTTTTGTCTCCAGCTTTCTGTGTTACACAGCAGGCCATGAAACAACCCCATTGTGCCAAAGAGTGGATGTGCTTAAAAGAAATAGCCTGTGTAGGAAAAATGCTCACCCTCTCTTTATCCCTCTATACCTCTCTCCTCTCCTTTAAATGGCAGTTACGAGTCTTTCTTTCTCTATACGTTCTCATTTGAGTTGCTCTTTACCCAGGGACACCTGTTGAGGAGAGGAGCAGTGCTCTCCGAGCCAGAGAGGCAGGGGGCCAGTGGGTCAGGAGGCACAGCGTCGCAACACAAACATGTCCGCCATGAGAAGAGCTAGGGCACATCTCATAAGGTAAACCAGACTGATATATAGACTACCTGAGTTCAAACAAATCCCAGGTTGACCCTCTCTTCCATGATGAGGTGGTCTTCATTAAATCAGACCCAGTGAAAAGGAAATGGGTGGCGTTGCGGCGCTTGGTTGTCCCAACACTGATATTGGCAGAGTGATTGCATTCTCAGACTCTGTGAAAAGCTTGACCAGTGTTCTATGGAGCTGAGACAGAGGTCAAGAACAATCTCCCGTTCACCCCCCCCCCCCCACCCCCCACCCCCCCAAACCCCCCCTCTCCTCCCGATGGTCCGGCTCACTGTCTTAATTGGGTGCCATCTGACCCCCTCTTTAGCTCTTTACCCAGCACAGTGTGAGCCATGGAGCATTATCCCCCACCAGGAGCAATCAGAGCCTAATGCCAGAACACTGCCTGCCTTCCTGGGTATTACAGCTTATCTATGTCTCTTTTTCTATCACCTCACTTCGCCGCAATTCCAGAACACTGGCTGGTGGCAGTAGCTTAGCAACCAGCGAGACAGAGAGAATAACGGGTATAGGGAGAGAGGAACAGTGATTCAATAAATGGACAAGCTTAGAGGCAGTCAATTTCTACAGGGGTGGCGGTGATGGTGACGGGTAGGCAGCAGTGGCGGCGGGGCTGGAGACGGCCAGGGCATTGACCTAATCTCGTTTTCATCCCCCTCCTGCACTTTTAGAGGCACACAATTTCTCTCCTGCTCCATCACTCCATAATGGACAGGCCTGGGAGGGCTACTAGGCAGGTCAGATTCAGATAAAGGAAGAATACATCAAACAGGTCTACTGGATCCTTCTCTAAAGAAGAGATGGCAGAGAATGGATGTAAATAGCCCAGCCTACATGGCCACACACACAACAAGCAAAATATGCTCAAAGCCCTGTAGACCCTCTTGTGAAGAATAGCAGATAAACTCAAACCTCCTCAGATAATAATATATAAAAAATCAAGTATGAATACATCAGTTTAATTGGGATTATAATCAAATAATTATAAACTCATCCTACAGTCCTCTGGTTGAAAATGAATATCCGTTTCAACCGCTAGGGGGCTTTCAAGCACAGGTCACTGATTCTGAAACTTTCTCACCTTTGTTATATGCGGTTTGCGATCAGGTGAACGGACATGCCGTTAGCTGAAAACTAAACAAAGATGTAAACGACAATGTCTACAAACACTTTTCTCTGCATTGTTATAACAATGTATTGTTTTTGACTATATGTTTTTATTTCTATACATTTTCTATTTCATGTTTCTTTTATTTGTATTTATACATTTGTTTAGTTTATATATAAATGTATTCATTTATTTATTTATATATTTTTTTTTGGGGGGGGGATATTGTCGAATAGACTTCAAAAGATTAGCAGGCAATTTGAATGTCTTGAATCACACAGATGCTTGCTACCATTATAGAGACAGACGCATATGTACCATTGATACGTGAAGAACAGGCCAACAGCATATTCTTAAATATAATAAATATCCATACTATAGCCTATATATTATGTATTTATATATTATCTCTATAAAGTAGCCTAAACGTGTATGTCCGAGCCTCTCTGAATCATAATCAGCATTGCATTGTGCAAGAATGAGGAAAAGCGTTCTAATTGGTGATTCACTGGTTTGAGAGTAGGCTACTAATACTAGTACAGAAGGGGAGCAGGGAGAGAAAGTCAAGCAGTCAGTCCTAACCGGTTTCTCCAACATGGGAACTTTTTTTGACCGACTATGGATATTGTCTGCTTTATTATTAGCTTCTTCTGAAGTTCTTGGTAAGTATTTTCTTTTTCATTCAATAATTATTCTGCAATACGTTTTCCTCTGCCATTCTATAAATCATTTTCTATTCTAGGGTGCGTATGCCGACTGAATATTAATTCTACTTTTGCTGTATCCTATGTTTTTAATAAGTAATACGTCTTAAGTTCCAGGAAAACTCACAACGTTTTTGACGATTTTATTTACTAAAACAATAAACTATATGGCAGTGTATTGCCCTACTGGAATGGAACTTTGGATATGTTGATTCCTTATAAGGGAGCGCTAATTCTCGAGACGTGCCAGAGTGCGCTTATATTTGTACAGGCCACACCTTTGCATCATACGATAGCACTTTCACATAGTATTTGTTTTGGCCTCATGTTTTTTCCATCATTATAGAAACCGTGCTATATAGACAAGCAATCACTTCAACATGCACAGTAGCCTAATACCAATAAACAAAAGGATATCTAACACATAATTAAACCTCAATATATCTAATAGACAAAGCGTACATCTCATTGAATTTTTTTTCTTCTATAAAATAGCATTTTCAATTGATATGACTGCAATCAGGTTTTAACCAACTGTTGCAAGACATATTGTGTAACATCAGAGACGTATTGAGCAGCGTCAACATCACACATTTTAGTGTGATCCACAGTGGTGGAAATTCCTGCAGTGTGCGTCTCTCCCTCTACCATCGAATTGCCTTCATGACTGCTGTTTTACAAAACACTGTGCGTGACAGGACAGGCCTGGGTAGCAAGCGGGATGGTGTAACAGAGGAGGAGAGAGGTAGAGCCTGGGGCAGAGAAGAAGCGGGGAGGAGGGACCAGCAGAGAGAGAAACGAGAGTGTGTGGTAGAGAAACAGAACCGTCTGTGGCCCAACTCACCACAGAAAAAAAGAAGAAGTGTGGTTTAAATGCAGAGTCCATATGGAGAAATGGTCATGAGACACAATGACTTGGCAAAACAGCAAGTAGAATAACAATGTCAGAAACACTCAAAGCTAATAAAGAATCAATCTAAAAGTGTCCATACAGCACATAGCCTATATGATTCCTATTCAAGTGTCCATATATGACTTATATGATTCCCACTACTGGACCTCCTACCGATTCACTCATGTTTATGTTGGTGTGTATACCTCAGGCTCAAACACCTGCACATCTCGAGGGGTGAGCACCTGCAGACAGTGTTTGGCTATCCACCCTAGCTGTGCTTGGTGCTTTAAGGAAGTGAGTATATCCCCTGGGGGACTATGTACAAAAAGTGCTGTAATTTCTAAATGGTTCACCTGATATGTTTGAAAATACCCTCAAATTAAAGCTGACATTCTGCACTTTAACATCATAGTCATTGCATCATTTCAAATCCAAAGGTCTGGAGTACAGAGCCAAAACAACCAAAAATATGTCGCTGTCCAAATACTGTATTCATCTACTGAACCCCCTCCCATTTTATTGTAATGTATTTAGATGCACTTTTTGAATTGTCAATGTCACTTTACTGGTTGTCTCATTGGGAATTGTTACTCTTACCAGTGTGTGTGTTGTTTTCCTGGGTTCAGGAGTTTGGCCAAGGGGGCTCCAGTGCGTCCCGTTGTGATCTGAAGCAGAACCTGTTGGATGGTGGGTGTACGAAAGGGGAGCTAGAGTTCCCCTTCAGTACCATCAGTGTACAGGAAGACACGCCCCTCAGTGACAAGGCATCGGGGGCGGCTGACGACGTCACCCAGATCAGACCCCAGAAACTCAGCCTCACTCTGAGACCAGGTACTCTAACATAGCATAGGCTTACATACAAACACCCATATACAGTGCATTTGGAAAGTATTCAGACCCCTTGACCTTTTCCACATTTTGTTACATTACAGCCTTATTCTAAAATTGATTTTTTTTCAACAAAATCCTCATCAATCTACACACAATACCCCACAATGACAAAGCGAAACCAGGTTTTTAGAAATTTTAGCAAATCTATTACAAATAAAAGACAGAAAAACCCGATTTACATAAGTATTCAGAGCCTTTGCTATGAGACTCGAAATTGAGCTCAGGTGCATCCTGTTTCCATTGATCATCCTTGAGATGTTTCTACAACTTGATTGGGGTCAACCTGTGGTAAATTCAATTGATTGGACATGATTTGAAAAGGCACACACCTGTCTATATAAGGTCCAACAGTTGACAGTGCATGTCAGAGCATAAACCAAGCCATGAGCTCCGAGACAGGATTGTGTTGAGGCACAGATCTGGGGAAGGGTACCAAGAAATGTCTGCAGCGTTGAAGGTCCCCAAGAACATAGTGGCCTCCATCATTCTTAAATGGAAGAAGTTTGGAACCACCAAGACTCTTCCTTGAGCTGGCCGCCCGGCCAAACTGAGCAATCAGGGGAGAAGGGCCTTAGTCAGGGAGGTGACCAAGAACCCGATGGTCACTCTGACAGAGCTCCAGAGTTTGTCTGTGGAGATGGGAGAACCTTCCAGAAGGACAACCATCTCTGCAGCACTCCACCAATCAGGCCACTCCTCAGTAAAAGGCACATGACAGCCCTCTTGGAGTTTGCCAAAAGGCACCTAAAAACTCTCAACCATTAGAAACAAGGTTCTCTGGTCTGATGAAACCAAGATTGAACTCTTTGGCCTGAAAGCCACGCGTCACGTCTGGAGGAAACCTGGCACCATCCCTATGGTGAAGAATGGTGGTGGAGTAAAGGGTCTGAATACTTATGTAAATGTGATATTTCCATTTTTTTTTTTATATACATTTGCAAAAATGTCTAAACCTGTTTTTGCTTTGTCATAATGGGGTATTGTGTGTAGATTGATGAGAGGGGAAAAAACTATTTTATCCATTTTAGAATAAGGCTGTAACGTAAAACAAAATGTGGAAAAAGTCAAGGGGTCTGAATACCGAATGCACTGTATAATGGTTTCATAACTGATCTAAAGTACATTGAACAGAGGAATTGTTACATACTTTTTGATCTCCTTCTCACTCGTTCTCCTTTCCTCTCTCACAAATTCATCCCTCTCCTTTTTATCCTTTACCCCCCACCTCTCTCTCTCTCTCTCTCTCTCTCTCTCTCTCTCTCTCTCTCTCTCTCTCTCTCTCTCTCTCTCTCTCTCTCTCTCTCTCTCTCTCTCTCTCTCTCTCTCTCTCTCTCTCTCCTCAGATGATGCCAGGCGCTTCACAGTGACAGTGAAGCAGGTGGCGGACTACCCAGTGGACCTATACTATCTGATGGACCTCTCCTACTCCATGAAGGACGACTTGGCCCGCCTGCGCTCCCTTGGCAACCAGCTGGCTGCAGCCATGGGCCGCACCACCAGCAACCTGCGTATGGGCTTTGGGGCCTTTGTGGACAAGCCCCTGTCCCCATATATGTACACCTACCCTGAGGAAGCCATCAGGAACCCTTGCTATGGGTGAGTGAGGGCTAGAGGGGACAGAGAGTTGGAGAAGGAGGGAGAGGAGGAGGAGATTTTGCAGAGGGGAAGATTTTGATTCTGCTGAGACTCTAAAAAGGCTGATATACTATGTTGGAGCTCAAATTCCCTCAGGATTTGTCTGTTAATAGCTGTCAAATTGTGTCTAACAGCGTATTTCTCTCTCTCTCTCTCTCTCTCTCTCTCTCTCTCTCTCTCTCTCTCTCTCTCTCTCTCTCTCTCTCTCTCTCTCTCTCTCTCTCTCTCTCTCTCCACCTTTTTGCCCTCTTCCTGTTTGGGGTGTGATGTGTAGGATCCAGACGCGGTGCCTGCCTCAGTTTGGCTACAAGCACGTTCTGTCTCTGACGAAGCAGGTGGAGCGCTTCACTGAAGAGGTGGCGAAGCAGCAGGTGTCTCGTAACAGAGACTCCCCAGAGGGAGGCTTCGACGCGGTCATACAGGCAGTGGTGTGCAAGGTGATACACACATGCACGCATGTACGCACACACCTACAGACATACAGGCACACACACACACACACTCACACACACACACACACACACACACACACACACACACACACACACACACACACACACACACACACACACACACACACACACAATCAGTGGTTTAGAAACAGCACACAAACTTGAATACATACCGTTTCTCTCCTCTCCTCTTCTTTCCATCTCTCTCCCTCCCTCTGTCATCAGGACAAGGTAGGCTGGCGTGCAGATGCCTCCCACCTGTTGGTGTTCACTACTGATGCTACGACACACATAGCCCTGGACGGCCGACTGGCTGGTCTAGTGCAGCCCAATGATGGACAGTGTCACATCGACAAAGACAACAACTATGACAAGTCCTCAGCCCTGGTGAGTGGTGTGTGTCGGGAGTGTGTGTTTGAGTTCTATTCTTCTGTTATCACAGGAGACTAGAGAAACGTTATGGATCCATGGGGCGGCATTTTTTAAATAAAAAATGATGTATGCACTCACTAACTGTAGGTCGCTCTGGATAAGAGCGTGTGCTAAGTGACGTAAATGTAAATAATGATGGTCTTCTCCTTCAGGACTACCCCTCTCTGGCTCTGATTACAGAGAAGATGTCTGAGAACAACATCAACCTAATTTTCGCTGTGACCACCAATGTGGTGTCCCTCTACCAGGTGAGTACACCTGACTGTTATCAGGGTCACCATGGTTACTAGGTGTAGGGTTATGGTACAGTACGTCTTATGTCCCCTTGGTCCCTCAGAACTACAGCCAGCTCATTCCTGGCACCACAGTTGGAACGCTGTCGGATGACTCTGGGAATGTGATCCAACTCATCCTGGATGCTTACGAGGTAAGAGACAGCCGTATATAAGAGAGTTTGGTTTGGATTTCAACCATGCACAGTCATGCCCACTTGACCATTAACGCGAGTTGGTAACACCTAGGGAGAATTGTCATGCACTGAGAAACAGCTGCACTGAGTGAGCTCTATCCAATCGTAGCAGCAGAATCTATCTATCTACTAGCAGAAACAACCTACAGCCTGCCCATTTACAGACAACAGAAATATCCATTAGCACGCAGCGCCTCGGACAAAACATAGACATTTACATTTTAGTAATTTAGCAGACGCTCTTATCCAGAGCGACATACAGTTAGTGAGTGCATAAATGTTTTCATACTGGCCCCCTGTGGGAATCGAACCCACAACCCTTGCGTTGCAAGCACCATGCTCTACCAACTGAGCTACAGTAGGGACAATATAACATAACATTGTAGCCAATGTTATGTTGAAAGAACGACACTTATGTTGAACGAACAGGAGCTAACGTTAGCATAACAAACACAACTGTCATAAAAAATACTGATACTCTAGAAAGCAGGAAATGCTCAGAGCTTGTCATGCTGCATCATGTGGTTGCTAAGCCAGTCGTCGCGTACATTGGCTGTTTGGGATATTTCAAGAGGAACACACAACGCTAGCAAACACAACACTTCCACTTCAAACTCTGATTGCTTCTAGTATTTCTTAATGAGGACGTGGAAAAGCGAGGTGAAATGAGTGAGTTCAGCCCCCCTTTAATTCTCAAACAGTCTATTTGACTTCCCAAGAGCCAATGTGTGACAGATAGAACACTGTATATACACACTGTATCCATTTACGCAGAGACTAAGAGTAGAGGTTTTCTGAATTGTTTATGTTTCTGATTGAGTTCATTCTGACCTCTGACCTCTGCTCCTTGACCTCTGACCTGTGGAGTAGAGAATCCGTTCCAAGGTGGAGCTGGAGCTGCTGGGTGTTCCAGAGGAGCTGGCCCTGTCCTTCAACGCCACCTGCCTCAACGGAGAGCTCATCCAGGGACTCAAGTCCTGCTCCGGACTTAAGATCGGAGACACAGTCAGTACCTGTACCACTCACCATCTGGATGTTAAATGCCTGGCCTAGTGTCAGATCTTAGGTATAGGAATAATGCTATGTTCTTACTGCACAGTTCAAATATTAACCTGCTGTATCACACACACCTTTCCCCCCAGGTGTCGTTCAGTGTGGAGGCCAGGTTACGCGGCTGCCCTAAGGAGAAGAACCGTACTTTCACCATTAAACCTGTGGGCTTCAAGGACGCCCTGGAGGTTACGGTCCACTTCGCCTGTGGGTGTGACTGTGAGGCCGCAGCTCAGCCCGAGAGCCCTCTCTGTAACCAGGGCAACGGGACCTACGAGTGTGGTGTGTGCCAGTGTCACCCGGGGCGCCTGGGAGACCGCTGTGAGTGTGCTGACGGGGACTACAGGCCCTCAGACCAGGGCAACTGCAGCCCCAAAGCTGAGGATCCCATCTGCAGTGGGAGGGGCAACTGTGTGTGTGGCCAGTGCTCCTGCCACACTAGTGGCTTTGGAAAAGTGTGGGGCAAGTACTGCGAGTGTGATGACTTCAACTGCCTGCGGTTCAAAGGAGAGATCTGCTCAGGTGAGTGGATAGATACACTGTTGTATCTGTCAATGAGACAGCCATGTTGGTTTCTTGTACTGCATGTTATTTTCTGCTGAGTTTTGAAGCATTATTCATCAACATAAGTCAACAGGTTGTTTTTGTAACATTCCTTCTCTGTGTTTGCTTTAGAATGTGAACCACAAATCTGTCATTACAATTATCATTTACCATTTTTGGCAGGCCTATGGTTTTAGCAGGAAAGAGGAGATTTCCCTTTCCTTAGAACATGTCCACAATGCCTCAGTTGACCCTTATCCAGACCTCTCTCTCTCTTTTACTGTCACTTTAACTCTTTTACTGTTAATTTAACCCATTCTGTGATTTGCTTGGCTTTAATCGTAGATAATCTAAAACGTTCTCTTTCAGCTTGGCTCTTGAACACCACATGTGGTAATCCATTGGTATCCATTGTTACCACAAAGTTTCATAGTTAATACAATGTAAATACTAGGTAAGTACCGGTTTAAACCAGGCTATAAAATAAGGTGTTACCCCACATTCTTATTACATGCCATATACTGTCCGTTGTTGCCTTTGAAATAGGCCAAGAAGACTACACAATGTTGTTTAGCGATAAACAGAGAATGCGGTGGTTCACAATTGGTCGATGTCCTTGACCTCTGACATTTGCTCAAATTCATTATGCCTACTGTACTGTAGCTCCAATGGATATACCCAGTCTGCTCTTACACATAGATTCTATTATAAATGTGAAAACATTCGAAGGAAACGGTACATGTTTACAACACACTTATTCACAAGAAGTTATTCAAATTATTCAAATCAAAACCACGTCTTCTTCCATGATCATTCTAGTGGAGTAAACAAGCTCACAGAACTCACTGATTCTATCAATCTTCTAACCACTCTTCGGAATGAAGGATGAGATGTCATACCTGATCATCTCTCCCTACTGCATGCCTGCACAGCACACCCGTTGCTCAATCAAAGTAACAACATTTTAATAGGTCCTGTCATTGGATAACTGAATGTTGCTGCATAGCAGATGAGTCATGGTGCTGTTGCTGCATTTATGTATGTGTTGGCTGTAGCTATAACTCTGTGTTTTAACCACAGCCATTCCCTTAGGGATGGATGAGCGTTATTAGACAACCAGGACTGTGCTTATGGTAACAGAGGTTAAAGTCAGATTGGCCAGTTGCTGTTGTACTCACTGAAAGAATGAGATGCACTGGATACCTGTACAGAAGTTATATCTGTAAGTTCTTGATGTTTCCAGGGAAAGAGCTATGTAGTATATTATAGTATTTTTCTGAAAATACACTGTTTAATTCCCTCCATAAGACATCCTTTGTTGTCAAATAGATAGTTCCCATTAGTTCCCAGTGTAGCCTTGAGTCCAAGGAATGAGGATGTTCCCATGGTCAACCGCTTTAAATGTTTGTTTTCACATTGTCCAGACTTTTCCTCATCTTTCTCTCACCTCACCCAGCCATAGCGTCCCTCCACAGGGATTTAGACGGGAAGGCGGGGGGGGGGGGTCTGAGTCGCGTGAGACAGCATCTCCTAACCCAAACAGTCTGGCCCTTTGGGAAGGCACCATAGAAAGGGCCTGTGGGCTGAACAAGAGGGGCGTCATGTGAACCGGAATTGTTTCCATTTATTCAATTTACGTAAGGCAACCAGCTGCAATAGGATTGTGCATTTTGCTCAACATTTGGGCATATAGCTGAACCAACATACATTCTCAAGTTTAATTGCATGTTCACTCAACTTCAAATTTTAATTTATTCTACGTTATTTGCATATTTCCCAGTGTAAAATTAAACTCTTCACGACAATAAATTACATATATCATAAGGCCTTTCTTTGAAACTCCTGATTTACAGGCCACATCAAGCCTGCAAGTCACATTATGCTGGCTTGCGAAGTGTAATTCCTATTGGAGTCCAGCCAGAGTGAGGATATCCAACAATTTGAACTTTTAATTACCCGCAACCTGCATTGAGAATGACTGCCAGGGTAGGAAAGACTGAATATTGAGACTACATAAATCATATAAACTGGAACAGCTATCTCAGTAATGGGTGCAAAAAGTCCAACTACTAACAGATTAGATTAGATTAGATTAGATTAGTTTAGAAAAATGTATGTTATTTATGTTTGTGTAGCATAAGATTAATCATCCAATCAATGTACATGCAAAAACACAGGTATTGAAACAAACAATTCTGAAAATCAACCTGCAATAGATCATGCTGGGAAATATGATAATGATGGGCATGGTTTTGAGCAAATATATATTTGTAATTTTACTCCAAAGGCAAACAAGTTTATATACAGTACATTCAGCTCAATGTGAGCAACATAATAATTAGTTATTTAGCAGACGCTCTTATCCAGAGCGACTTACAGGAGCAATTAGGGTTAAGTGCCTTGCTCAAGGGCACATCGACAGATTTTTCACCTAGTCGGCTTGGGGATTAGAACCAGCGACCTTTCGGTTACTGGCACAACGCTCTTAACCACTAAGCTACCTGCCGCCCCAACGTTTGTTGAGTGAACAAACCTTCACACATTAGCTCAATTTCTTGTCCTTCTGAAGTCTACTCAATTCACAGAATAATGCTGATTAAGCAATTGGCTATGTTGGCTTTTTTATAGTGTGTGCTATGTGTGAAATGTTATGTATGATGGTTAGGGTGAAGTCAGGACTTGGGAATGGGACATATTTGGTTAAAACAGTCATTTATATCTTAACTCAGCATTAGCTATGGTTTTGTCAGTGGAAAAGATGTCGTTTGTGGGATTGTGGTCTTAGTCAATGAGATCTACTCTTGTATGAAGCGTCTAGGGTTGGAATGAATGACACAGAAATGCAACAGTCCAGAACTCCATATTTAGAGAGTAGAGCCAGTGGAGCACGCTGAAGGAGACTCAACATAGTCAGCCTGTGTCTCTGGAGTCTTGTTGGCATGATGTCATTGCTGTGTGAAGAACAGTACAGTATCAGAGTCCCTGGGCCCCAGCTCAATCTGAGTCTCCCCCAAGACCCATCCCGTCCTCCTGACCCCAGGCCCTCCCACATCCCCCTGAGGGTGTGTATTTCTCCCTCTGCTCTGGAGCTGGGGCTGGGGCTGGAGCAGAAGCTGGGGCTGGGACTGGAGCTGGGGCTGGGGCTGGAGCTGGGGCTGGAGCTGGGGCTGGGGCTGGAGCTGGGGCTGGAGCTGGGACTGGAGCTGGGGCTGGAGCTGGGGCTGGAGCTGGGGCTGGAGCTGGGGCTAGAGCTGGGGCTAGAGCTGGAGCTGGGGCTAGAGCTGGGGCTAGAGCTGGGGCTAGAGCTGGGGCTGGGGCTAGAGCTGGAGCTGGGGCTAGAGCTGGGGCTGGGGCTAGAGCTGGGGCTAGAGCTGGGGCTGGGGCTGGAGCTGGGGCTGGAGCTGGGGCTAGAGCTGGGGCTGGGGCTGGAGCTGGGACTGGAGCTGGGACTGGAGCTGGAGCTGGGACTGGAGCTGGGGCTGGGGCTAGAGCTGGGGCTGGGGCTAGAGCTGGGGCTGGGGCTAGAGCTGGGGCTAGAGCTGGGGCTGGGGCTGGAGCTGGGGCTGGAGCTGGGGCAAGAGCTGGAGCTGGGACTGGAGCTGGGGATGGGGCTAGAGCTGGGGCTAGAGCTGGGGTTGGGGCTAGAGCTGGGGCTGGGGCTGGGGCTAGAGCTGGGGCTAGAGCTGGAGCTAAGACTGTGGCAGCAGAGCACAGCAGAGCAGGAGTCAGCAAGCACACCCACAGGGCACACAAACAGGCTGGAGAGAACATGAAAGTTAGCATTCCTCTGGCACGCTGATTCTCTCATCGGTTTGTTTACAGTACCCCCCCCCCCCCCCCCTCCAGCTGGGGCTAGAGCTGGGGCTGGGGCTGGGACTGGAGCTGGGGGTGGAGCTGGGACTGGAGCTGGGGCTGGGGCTAGAGCTGGGGCTAGAGCTGGGGCTGGGGCTAGAGCTGGAGCTGGGGCTAGAGCTGGGGCTAGAGCTGGAGCTGGGACTGGAGCTGGGGCTGCAGCTGGGGCTAGAGCTGGAGCTGGGGCTAGAGCTGGAGCTGGGGCTAGAGCTGGGGCTAGAGCTGGAGCTGGGACTGGAGCTGGGGCTAGAGCTGGGGCTAGAGCTGGGGCTGGGGCTAGAGCTGGAGCTGGGGCTAGAGCTGGAGCTGGGACTGGAGCTGGGGCTGCAGCTGGGGCTAGAGCTGGAGCTGGGACTGGAGCTGGGGCTGGAGCTGGGACTGGAGCTGGGACTGGAGCTGGGGCTGGAGCTGGGGCTAGAGCTGGAGCTAGGACTGGAGCTGGGGCTGGAGCTGGGGCTAGAGCTGGAGCTGGAGCTGGGGCTAGAGCTAGAGATGGGGCTAGAGATGGGGCTAGAGCTGGGGCTAGAGCTGGGGCTGGGGCTAGAGCTGGAGCTGGGGCTAGAGCTGGAGCTGGAGCTGGGGCTAGAGCTGGAGCTGGGACTGGAGCTGGAGCTGGGGCTAGAGCTGGGACTGGGACTGGAGCTGGAGCTGGGGCTAGAGCTGGAGCTGGAGCTGGGGCTAGAGCTGGAGCTAGGACTGGAGCTGGGGCTGGAGCTGGGGCTAGAGCTGGAGCTGGAGCTGGGGCTAGAGCTGGAGCTGGGGATAGACCTAGAGATGGGGCTAGAGATGGGGCTAGAGCTGGGGCTAGAGCTGGAGCTGGGACTGGAGCTGGGGCTAGAGCTGGGGCTGGGGCTAGAGCTGGAGCTGGGGCTAGAGCTGGGGCTAAGACTGTGGCAGCAGAGCACAGCAGAGCAGGAGTCAGCAAGCACACCCACAGGGCACACAAACAGGCTGGAGAGAACATGAAAGTTAGCATTCCTCTGGCACGCTGCCCTCTCTTTCTATCCTCTCCTCTCTATCTCCCTGTTTAAAGTTCATCTCCATCACCAATACTCCCACTCATCTCCTCTCTTTTTAAAATGATTCTCTCGTCAGTGTGTTTACAGTACCCCCCCCCCCCCCCTCTTTCTCTCTCTCTCTCTTTCTTTATATTTCTGTCTATGACTTCCTCCACTGCTTCGCTCTCATTCGCTCTGTCCTCCCTCCTGGTTTATGTGTCTCTGTAGTTTATGTTTACTACTTGATAAATTGGAGGATTAGAGTGCCTTCTCAGACCGAGGCAGATGATTTAGACATGCATCCCAAATGGCACCCTATTTCATATATAGTGCACATAGCGCTCAAATCAAAAGTAGTGCACTATATAGGTAATAGGGTGCCATTTGGGATGTATACCTAGAAACTCCTTCTCATGTCTCTGACTTGACCCTAGAACAAGTAAAGTAGAGAAAACAAGGCACAAGCATGAACTCACTGTGCGGATGAGGGAGAGTATAAGGAGCATTAGCCAAACAAGGTTTTAAGAGAGGAAAACCGGGACTTTCTTTACTATGTATTGATTTTGTCCCAGTCAAAAGCATTCAGTTGGGTCAGTGCTCTCTCCAATTTGGCCCGCAGGTGGTTTTATTTGGCCCCCCATGTTTTCGGAGAAGAAAATAAGAATAATTTGAAATTATTATGTTTTAGCCAAATATTATATCTGTTTGGGCTTCTTGCGGTCAATTTGCAGTCTACAAATTACTTGTAATTATGTTCCGGCCCCCGGACCATCCACTCAAGAAAAAATTGTCCCGTGCCTGACTAGATCAACTAGATGTTGATGATCCTTGCTGTAAAACATTAACCAGCTCAACACAGACCACTTATGTGCCTGCAAGACAGTAAAGCGACCCTTTGTAACTATAGCTGCCTCTTTCATCACGTATACACACACACACACACACACACACACACACACACACACACACACACACACACACACACACACACTTATCTCATAGTGATGACAGAGTCAGACAGGGGGTGGGAACTGGGGAATTCAGCTGAAGGAGGTGGTTTCACCTGAAAACAACAATGGCCATATCTCTAAGGGCCTGTTTTTACAGTTTACAGACCCCTGTTTAGTTTCCATTGGTAACTCTAACCCAACTGAGCTCTGAGTCAGTGACTCAGTTAGTCTCTGCTCTTAGTCATTCATTGCCCAGACCTGTTGCTTTATCCTTCATCCTGTGGGAAATAGCTGGTTGCTCTAGTATGTCTGTCTGAGGGCAATCAAACAATCATTTCTCAACTTTGCTGGCTGGGCTGAGAGATATTGAGGAGGCTCCAGGGAGTGGTCATCACAGCCAGGGATTGCCCCAGTGTTGGGAGGGGAACAGTGGGATGGATTACTAGTTTGCTTCCTTAAGAAGGGAGCTTATCCTGCCATTGTCTGCACTGTCTGGTCATGAATTGATGACTTAATGTTTTGGGAATTATTACTCAATATGGACTCATCACGCCTGCCTGCCCATGCTCTCAATACACTCATTAATACATACAGAGACAAACACATGCAGATCTGCTGAAAATGATACTGAACAAAAATATAAACGCAACAATCAACAATTTCAAAGGTTTTACTGAGTTACAGTTCATATGAGGAAATCAGTCATTTGAAATTAATTCATTAGGCCCTAATCTATGGATTTCACATGACTGGGAATACAGATACGCATCTGTTGGTCACAGATACCTTAAAGAAAATGGGCCTCACAATGGGCCTCAGGATCTCGTCATGGTATTTCTGTGCATTCAAATTGCCATAGATAAAATGAAATTGTGTTCGTTGTCCGTAGTTTATGCCTGCCCATACCATAACCCCACAGTCCACCAGCGGGCACTATTTTCACAACGTTGACATCAGCAAACCGCTTGCCCACACAACGCCATACATGTGGTTAGTTGGACGTACTGCCAAATTCTCTAAAAACGCAAATAGTCTGGGTAGCCATTTCATTAGATGTTCAGGAGTCTTATGGCTTGGGGGTAGAAGCTTTTTAGAAGCCTCTTAGACCTAGACTTGGCGCTCCGGTACCGCTTGCTGTGCGGTAGCAGAGAGAACAGTCTATGACTAGGTCGGCTGCAGTCTTTGACAATTTTTAGGGCTTTCCTCTGACACCGCCTGGTATAGAGGTCCTGGATGGCAGGAAGCTTGGCCCCAGTGATGTACTGGGCTGTACACACTACCCTCTGTAGTGCCTTGCGGTCGGAGGCAGAGAAGTAATCAACTTCTTGATATGCCACACTTGTCAGGTGGATGGATTATTTTGGCAAAGGATAAATGTTCTCTAACAGGGATGTAAACAAATTTGTGCACAAAATTTGAGCAAAATAAGCTTTTTGTGCATATGGAACATTTATGGGATCTTTACATGTTGCATTTATATTTTAGTTCAGTGTAGATACAATCTGGCAAAAACACACGCACAACCACAAACACACACATTGCTTTGAAATTCATAACATTCTAGGCCAGGGTTGTAATTGCACTCATGGGTTTGTCCAGTACTTATAACGTGATGTATGAGAGAAAGACAAACCTAATGTATAAAAATATGACATAAAATGTCCATGAAACATGGCCCATCCTCTCTCTCTGTCTCTGCCAGGCCATGGTAAATGTGACTGTGGCTTCTGCAAGTGTGGCTCTGACTGGATGGGGGAGAACTGTAACTGTTCCACCCGGACAGACACCTGCATGTCCAGCATGGGCCTGTTGTGCAGTGGCCGGGGCCAGTGTGTGTGTGGGGCCTGTGAGTGCACCCAGCCAGGGGCCTACGGGGCCACTTGTGAGAGGTGTCCAACCTGCCCTGATGCCTGCAGCATCAAGAAGTGAGTAAATACAGGAGAGAGTATAACTGCCTACACACAGATACTGTATGAGTACATGTGATAGGGGTAATGATGAAATGGTGATGCAATAAGGAAGATGAGGAAAAGGAGGATGATAATGATGAAGAAGTTGGTGGTGATGATGATGATGATGATGATGGGGATGATGATGATGTATTAACATTGTGTTATATCTGCAGGGAATGTGTTGAATGTAAGCACTTCAAGAGAGGCCGTCTCTTTGAGGAGAAAAGCTGTGCCCGAATCTGCAGGGATGAAATTCACAAGGTGGAAGAACTAGGTAAGAACTATTACACAATGTTCCCTTATTGTGTGTTCACCATGCTCTCCATGCAACAGATTGCATTATTTACACTGGGTGTTAAAGTTCTTGATGTTCTCACATAGTTCATCATGTGAGCGGCAGGTAGCCTAGCGGGTAAGAGCGCTGGGCAAGTACCCGAAAGGTTGCTGGTTCGAATCCCTGAGCCGACTACGTGAAATATTTGTCAATGTGCCCTTGAGCAAGGCATTTACCCTAATTGCTCCTTTAAGTAGTTTAAAGCATGTTATATACATGTAGCTCCAGACTACAGGTTTGTGATATGGAGTCAAAACTGTGTGTGTTAACAGTCCACATTGAGGCCCCAATCTCTCTACAGTCTCGGAGCTTGTTCTTCCTGAGGAAACTCTGCAGTTTCAGGGTGGATATGACGCTGATGACCATTTTCTAGAGATCCTACATTGAATCCATTTTAACATTCAGTATGGTCTGCTGGTTCGGTAATCTAAACCTAAAGAGCCAGAACAGGCTGGGTAACATTGTGAAACTAGGTAGCAGGATCATTGGTATGAACTTACAGTAACTGACCTTTCTCACCAGTAACAGACACGAGTCATACGCAAGGAGCCATCCATTCTGAGAGACTCCTAGCATCCTCGTTTGTTTCCCTTAGAGCTCAGAAACAGGCTCCTTAGGTTTAAAACGAATAGGTAAAAACTCTCCTTCATCCCAGCTGCTATTAGCTTTCTCAATATGCGGTAGGACTGTACTGTTTTGGTACGGACTGGTTTATTCATATCTGCTTTAGAGGTCTAATTCCTGTGGGCACTGCTGCTTCTATTGTTTTTGTCCTTTGTTGATATATTTATTGTTATGTATCCATTGAATTTACTATGTGCTGCAAAATCAATATAATTAACCTCCAGCTCGAAAGGGGGAGAGAGAGAGATCAGGAGAGAAGAGAGAGAGGCATAGAGAGAGAGAGGCGAGATCTGAGATAGCAGAGCGAGATATCTGATATATGAGCGATAGAATATCTCGTCTCTTCTTCTGTCTTCTATCTTGTCTCTCTGTCTCTCTTCTCTTCTCTCTCTCTCTCTCTCTCTCTCTCTCTCTCTCTCTCTCTCTCTCTCTCTCTGTCTCTCTCCTTATCCTCCACTTGGATCTATAACCCTATCTCTCATCCCAGTCTTCTATGAGAAGAATGCTGTGAACTGCACCTATAAGGATGAGAATGACTGTGTGGAGCGCTTCCAGTACTATGAGGATGCCAGCGGCAAGTCCATCCTGTATGTCATGGAGCCTGGTGAGTGTGTCCATCAGTGTGTGAATGGGTCTGAGTTCTGTGCTTATGTACTGCATATCATATGTGTTTGACAAGGTCTGGATGAGAGTGAATTCCTTTAGTTTTCTAGATAATTATTGTGTGTGTAGAAATAATGTGCAGTACTATGTGTGCATAGGACCAAAGTCGGGAGCTGTAGGAGGAGTACATTTTTCTCCCTAGCTAAGAATAGTGTGTTCCTGGGTGCCATGTCAGTCTTTGTCTGTGTGGCTGGCAGGCACCAATAGAGTAGAGCAGGTACAGAGAGGGCAGACTGGTTCTCTAAAGCTGATAATACCATTCAGCCCTGCCACCCCTGGTAGTCTTCTCCCCTCTGACACGCACCCAAGAGGAACAAAGACAACCCCAAAGCCAGACGAGGTGCATTAATGCTAGTGCCCCATTGCCGACACAAATCTCATCCACCCAAACCCTCCCCTCTTTTTCATCTTTCTTTTCCCTGCTCAATCCTCTCTCTTCTCCTCTCTCCTCCTGTTCTCTTCCCTCTCTTTCAGACTGCCCCAAAGGACCTGATATCCTGGTGGTTCTCATGGCGGTGGCGGGGGCCATCTTGTTTCTGGGTCTGGCTGGCCTGCTCATCTGGAAGCTGCTGGTCACCGTCCACGACCGCCGAGAGTTCGCCAAGTTTGAGGAGGAGAGGGCTAAGGCCAAGTGGGACACAGTGAGTTCAATTATGCTTTTAAGACAAAGCTGCCATTTGATGGAGAAAATATGAATGGCAAGAATATTTATCCATGTCAATATGACACGTGTCTGATTAGATATTTGATATATTGTCCTCTATTTGTTTCCATTTTCCAGGCTAACAACCCCTTGTACAAAGGAGCCACTACCACTTTCACCAATGTGACCTATCGTGGGAACTCTTGAGGGACCAATCACAATCAGCAAAACTCAGGGGTCTATAAAAGAGATGCAATGTAGTGACACAGAGGGGGTTGGTGAGGCAGACCCTCTCCACTGTCATGTGATAAAGTGTGCTGACTCTACTGTCAATTAAATACATTTGTTGATATTGTACTGTAATGTTGCTATTCTGTATATTATATAAAAACCAAAGCATTAAAACTGCCTTATCCAACATTTTGATGTCAGTCCAAATGATGGCAGGGCCTCCAGGACCCCTATTTTACCCAGGAAGTGTGACATCATTCCCATAATAAGGCCTGGTACAGTTCAGAGACCCCAAACCTACCTTTGGAGAGAAATGTGTTATTTTTATGCTCTGTTTTTGTTTCAAATTTGATAAGAAGAAATGCGTGAAATTGTCCTGCGCACACACCATAGCACACTTGCTCACAGACCTCTTTGACAAACAACTTGGTTGTAGTATGTTATTATGGATCCCAGCTGCTTGCTACTACTGCCACTGTTTACTTGTGTTATGACACTGAACTCAGATATTCTGACTGTAAAAAAAAAAAACTGTAATAGCTTCATGGGATATCATGGGATATCATGAGTGAATGTTGTTTTAGTTAGTGGTGCTGGTGAACAATGTATGTTAATGGCCACCAATTAGCAGCTATGGCTATCTGCTCTAGCATGTGTACAGTACAGTATGCATTTGTGCTTTGGTATCAAACTTGGGAGTGATGGACATCAATTAACTGTTTGTAGCCAAGTTTGCCAGTTGTTAGAATGTGGCTACACAAACAGACGTTTAGCTTGGTCCCTTTTATAAATCACGTTTTTTATCAAATAATGAATTTCTGGGACATTGGTTGTTCTGTCATTTGCTTTATTGCATGAAATATGTTTATGTTAAATGTAATATGTTTTGGGTGGCCTTTGGTTAGTTGATTGGTTTTACTATGTTGATTTTAAAAATGTAGATGTCACTCATCAATTTTTCTGTATTTTTTGGCAATTTTACTCTGCTAAGAAACATTTTAGAAAAAATTATCTGCGTTTGTGTTTTCCTTTTTTATATTTTGTTTGTAATTGAATGAGTATCAATAACACATAGTGCAAACAAGTACAAACCCGATTTGCCATCGCTAAAGATACGGAGATTTCTGCGCATGTGCAGGATTCTTTTTTAACGTAGCTGCTGCCCACTCGGTTGCCTATGTAGCTGCTGCTCAGTGCTCCGCTGCCGCTTCCCCCTCCTTGATTAGCGATGAACGTCTTTGTCTGGTGTAGCCTACAAACTTCATGTTGTACACAAAGGACATGTGCATTCCATACCTCAGTAGGCTATTAAAGCTGCACTATGCAGAAATCGCGCTGCGATTTCCTGGTTGCTAAAAAAAAATCTGATTATGTGACAAAACAAGCAAGTATAGCGTAGAGAATTTGGACGCCTGCATTCCCGCCTTTGCATTGTTAGGGCGGAGACATCTCGTCATTATATACAGATCTCTGGTTTCAGCCACTTGCAAATTATAAAGGATGTTCAGATGCTGGCTTCCCCTAAAGTACAATGATGTTTTGCCAAAATTATATAATTACTCCTGTCTAAATTAAATAATTCAATATACTTTACCAGAGAGTTTGACTTAGCCATAGAGGATCATTAGTTTCTTTTTTTTTTAAATAGCTCTGGATTGTTTCAAATCACAAGTGCATAGGCCTATGCCTATTTGGGAAGCCAGCAATTTGGGCAATGCGTGGCAATAGGCCTAGCTGATTGAGTTGCGGCTGTCAGTGAAAAGCATCTAAAATGTGTGAAGATAATGTGTCTTCAATATAATTTAAAATGTTGAGACAAGAAGAAGGGGAGGTGTGTGGCGAAGATATGGGCGTCTCTCTCCAGAATGCATGCACTCTCCAGAATGTGCTCCACTGTCTCCCGCCTATTCTTGCAAATGCATTGTTTAATTGTGTGAATTGTTGCCCTTTGTTGATTTTTATAAATTCCCCATTTCATATGTAACCAGTAGGCCTAGTAAATGTAAATTTTTACTACAGTTAATCCCCATCATTTGGTTACATTAATTTATGTTAATGCATGTATTACAGTCATTTACCATTCTCCTTCTCAGAGGGGAATTGTTGTTTGCAGAGTTCACAACCTGCTACACTTGTGAGAAACAAGTTTTGGTTTATTTCATAACCATCATTTAGGAGTTTTGTAAATGTTTTCATTGTCTTTTGTTTGGAGTGCTCCATGTGAGCGTTGAGGGAGTGTGCTAGCCTGAGCACAACAACCTGCTGAGTTTATACAATGTTGCACTTCACTAGCAACAGCTCAAGTCAAGACAGATAGAAAGGGAGGCAGACAGGTGGAGTAGAGAGATGAATGTTATTGAAAGAACCTGAATTTTCATCAGGATATTTTCTACTGTTTTTATTTGTTGGCTTTAGGCCTATGTACTTTACTTGGTTGACGATGGAAGATATAGGCCTACTTCTGCATTGGCCTATAGGCTATCTCTGAGTTCCATGCGCTAATTTCTTTAGCCGCCAATGGATCACGGTGTAGCCAGTGTTGGCCTACATTATTGAAATGACACTGTTCCACAAAAATGAGCATATAAAAAATCTTCACCGGCACGCAGATAGGTAGAAATGGTAGGATACATTGTAAGCTTCCCCAAACTTGAAACTATGGTCTTTATTATAAACCGGGTGGTTTGGATACTGGATGCTGATTGGCTAAAACAGCATTTAGCCGTGTGTATGTGAGACAATATACCATGACTATGACGTTAGCCTTTTCACCTTGATATCATTGAGCCTTTTCACCTCGATAAAATGGCTACATCAACAATAGTTTGACATGCCAATGTAGAAAATAAGCATTTAGATGAACTTGAGAGAAACCTAAATGAAAAGAACATTGTGAAACAAACAAAGTGGGCACTTACCTGCTTCACTGACTGGTGTGCAGAAAAAGGGATACATAGTGAGTTTGGGAATACAACAAAAACGGAACTGAACGTCATTCTACAAGACTTTTATGGTTCAGTGACAAACATGAACGGCGAAGAATATTGGATTAGCAGCTACACTGGACTCAGAGCTGGTTTGAACCTACCTATCAACGTGGTATAGTTGAAGTCGGAAGTTTACATAAACCTTAGCCAAATACATTTAAACTCGGTTTTTCACAATTCCTGAAATGTAATCCTAGTAAAAATGCCCTGTCTTAGGTCAGTTAGGATCACCACTTTATTTTAAGAATGTGAAATGTCAGAATAATAGTAGAGAGAATTATTTATTTCATATTTTATTTATTTCATCACATTCCCAGTGGGTCAGAAGTTTACATACACTCAATTAGTATTTGGTAGCATTGCCTTTAAATTGTTTAACTTGGGTCAAACATTTCGAGTAGCCTTCCACAAGCTTCCCAGAATAAGTTGGGTGAATTTTGGCCCATTCCTCCTGACAGAGCTGGTGTAACTGAGTCAGGTTTGTAGGCCTCCTTGCTCGCACACGCTTTTTCAGTTCTGCCCACACATTTTCTATAGGATTGAGGTCAGGGCTTTGTGATGGCCACTCCAATACCATGACTTTGTTGTCCTTAAGCCATTTTGCCACAACTTTGGAAGTATGCTTGGGGTCATTGTCCATTTGGAAGACCCATTTGCGACCAAGCTTTAACTTCCTGACTGATGTCTTGAGATGTTGCTTCAATATATCCACATAATTTTCCTTCCTCATGATGCTATCTATTTTGTGAAGTGCACCAGTCCCTCCTGCAGCAAAGCACCCCCACAGCATGATGCTGCCACCCCGTGCTTCACGGTTGGGATGATGTTCTTCGGCTTGCAAGGAGCCCCCTTTTTCCTCCAAACATAACAATGGTCATTATGGTCAAACAGTTCTATTTTTGTTTCATCAGACCAGAGGAAATTTCTCCAAAAGGTACGATCTTTGTCCCCATGTGCAGTTGCAAACCGTAGTCTGGCTTTTTTTATGGCGGTCTTAGAGTAGTGGCTTCTTCCTTGCTGAGCAGCCTTTCAGGTTATGTCGATATAGGACTTGTTTTACTGTGGATATAGATACTTTTGTACCTGTTTCCTCCAGCATCTTCACAAGGTCCTTTGCTGTTGTTCTGGGATTGATTTGCACTTTTCGCACCAAAGTACGTTCATCTCTAGGAGACAGAACGAGTCTCCTTCCTGAGCGGTATGACGGCTGTGTGGTCCCATGGTGTTTATACTTGCGTACTATTGTTTGTACAGATGAACGTGGTACCTTCAGGCGTTTGGAAATTGCTCCCAAGGATGAACCAGACTTGTGGAGGTCTACAATGTTTTTTCTGAGGTCTTAGCTGATTTATTTTGATTTTCCCATGATATCAAGCAAAGAGGCACTGAGTTTGAAATATATCCACAGGTACAGCTCCAATTGACTCAAATGGTGACTCAATTAGCCTATCAGAAGCTTCTAAAGCCATGACATCATTTTTTTGAATTTTCAAAGCTGTTTAAAGGCACAGTCAACTTAGCGTATGTAAACTTCTGACCCACTGAAATTGTGATACAGTGAATTATAAGTGAAATAATCTGTCTGTAAACAATTGTTGGAAAAATTACTTGTGTAATGCACAAAGTAGATGTCCTAACCGACTTGCCAAAACTATAGTGTGTTAACAAGAAATGTGTGGAGTGGTTGAAAAACGAGTTTTAATGACTCCAACCTAAGTGTATGTAAACATCAGACTTCAACTGTATAATGCATATATTCCACGGCTAAAGGCTGTATCCAGGCACTCGTGCATAAGAACAACCCTTAGCCATGGTATACTGGCCATATACCACACCCCCTCGGGCCTTATAGCTTAATTATAACACCCAAAACAAAATTTGTGCATGTGAGGTCCCGTGAAAAAAATGGGCCCATCCAACTGATTCGTTCTGGCGCCAGCCCTGGGAGTCAGACAGTGTTCTTTTTCAGCAACTCTGGCTAACGGCTACGATAATGTGTAGGGACTGCATCCTTCTTGTGCAACTGCAATTTCCGTTACAACAGACAGAGAAGGTTGTAACCTTCATAATGGTCTTGAATGTTTGTTCAAATCGCTGCAGGGTTTTTATTTAGGCTGTTCAGAAATATGAGGAAGAGACATAGGCTATGTTCGAGAGGCTCAAAACAGTAATGTATAATGGGAAAATTGTGACTGACTGACTACTGATCTACACATAATAATGAGTAGGAAATTATGTTGCAAAGTTCTTTGTAGATCAGTCATTCGGCAGTCGCCTGCACTGTCGACTGCAATGTCGAACAAGCCCATAGGCTACATCATCATGGTTCATCATCATGGTTCATCATAATGGTTGATCATCATGGTTCAGAAGAGGGTGAGTAAAAAGACTGCTCATGCTCTCAAAATGTTGACGCCCAGAGATGACACGTTTCCGAGGTGAGCAGGACGATTATGAAATGAAGTTATGTCGGGATGCCACCGGGCCGCAAGCAAAGTCAGGAGAAGAGGAATATTGGGACAGGGACATAGAATGGTGGATTTCTGAGGAGGAATGGAGCTGAAAAAAGAGGAAGAAGTGGAAGAGAATGAGGAAAGCAGAGGTTGGATTTGAATTTGAGGAAGATGGTGATAAAAATGGAGATGGAGTGTCGATAAAGATTGGTGTCAAGTGCAAACAGAGTGAGCCGTGCACCAGACTGAGATCTAGAGGTGAAATGGAAGTGAATGAGGGCGAGTTAAGTGAGGTGGAAGGTGTGGTGAAGAGCTCGGAACCCAAGCCTGGCATTAATGGACATGATAAAGAAGAATCTGGTCCAGCAGGAGTTACATTTTTGGAGAAAGTGGATCCTTGCCTTTAAAAAAGGAGTTGGGTGCAGTTGAATCAGTGAAGGTAAACTGTAGTGTACTTGTGATATTTGTTTGTGTTTCTTCTGACCAGAGGGAGCAGGCACTCCGTGTCACGCAACTTGGGTCAAGATCTGTTTCTTGCTTTGCTCTTAGGAACAGGGCAATATTGAAA